GGCAGTTTATTTGATTGTATTTTCCCTATTTAATTTAAAATTAGTATGTATGTATTAACAGCTTTAAGTGCACAACAAAAGCCACAGTTATGATCAGGAACATCTTTTAATCACAAATGTGGCTTAACTGAAATGTCACCAGCACTCCGTATGGCAGATTTTAATCTGAAATAATGAATTTAAAAAATGAACAAAACAAAGAAACTGCAAGTACATCAGTGCTGCTTACATCATAATCATTACAAGCTGCCAGCTGGTGCTTTGCCATGAAAATAACACAGCAGTTTTGACTTGCCACAAACTGCTCGCAGTTCACGGAAAATAATAATCACTGCTTTTGGAACACACTCTGGATGAGGACAGCAGCCAACCAAACATTGTTATAAAACAATACTACCATAAAGAAGCCTTGTCTAAGTCAGAAGAGCTTGTGTTACTGTTCTAGTGAACTTGAGCTTCTCCGTCACTCAATGCATTCTCTATTTCTTGATATTGCATTGATACTTGCCAACAACTACTAAAGTAATGCATGTAAAAAAAGGAGTCACTAGAATTAAAACAAAGATCCAGAATTACTGGATAAAGGCAGTTCCTTCCAGCTCTGTAGCAGCCTCTAGTCATTGTGATCTCCGCTGGCGCCTTCAGTACTGTTGTGATTGTGATCTCCACTAGCATTTCCAGAGCCAGGCTGGGCGGGTTTCCCCTGTGGCTTGCCTTTTTTGCTGTTGTTCTGCTGGGATGTGGGCTCTGGGCAGGGCTGTAAGCTCTGAGAAATGTCCTGGAAGGTCCAGCGCTCCTCCCTTAACACATGCTCATCCAGCGTGAATTGACCCTGCTTAGTCCTGGTCAGCTCTCGCACATGAGCACATGAAGACAGAGCTACACAGGGTGGAGACAGACAGATGACTCAAGTCACGTAAGATTACAAAATTCACATCAATGAAAATGACTGTCTACTTCTGAATGTAGTCAATATTGTCCAAGAATACTTTTTAGCTTTGTACCTTTTCCCAAATCATCCACCAGGCTTCGGACATAAAACCCTCCGCCACACTCAATATCTGTCAACACAAAAAACAACATATTCTGTGAATAGTGCTAATAGTAAATACCCCTCCAATAAATAATGTTTAGGTTTGAGTGAGACATTAAGCAGAGCTGGAATGACTGCAGCTCTCTTATATATATATATATATATATATATATATATATATATACACACACACACACACACACACACACACACACACAAATATACAGAAAAAAACTGAGAGAGAGAGAGAGAGAGAGAGAGAGAGAGAGAGAGAACATACTATTTAAGATGACCATATTTGGGCTTTCAAAGGAAAAAAGACAGAGGAAACTGGGCAGAAGGGCAGTACAAGGCAATCTGAACACAGCAATCATCAACATGAAACCAGAGTCAAATCCCAGACATTTTTGGCAACATATAATCCCAGTCGGATGCACTTTTGGGTTGCCAAAAGAGGACAAATGGCCACCCTACAACAGACGAACAGATGGATATAAATGACAGCTATCAAAATTATATAAAGAGTAAAAATACTACAAATACGCAAATGTAAACAGCATGTCGCAAACAACTAATCTAACTAAGTAGTGTAGTAACTGAATGCAATTTTGTTTTTGAATCACTTTGTGTAGCTGTCAACATGTACATACATGATGCTGCATGTAACTCTCATGATGGTACTACATGCATGAAAGTTTTTTGAAAAATTTGAGTCCACACCCAGGACTGGTTCTGGGCTCAATGGGTGCAGAGGGTCATCATCACAGATCTGTTTTCACACATGATAATTTCTTCTAAATTGGAGCAATTCTGTACATCGATACCAACACCCAGACTGTAATAAATATTGGTTATTGCTAGGAGTGTTGCATATCTTAGGTGAGAACTTGTTGCTTATTGAGAAAATCTTTAGCCATGCAGACTGTAAAAAAACTGAAAAAAATATGAGGGTAACTCATTCATGTAGTATGGTGCACCTACAAAAAAATAGTTATTTGGACCACCCTGTATAAATGCAGTAATATGACAATATGACAAGCTAATGTTACATCATGTTCAAGGCCAAGATCAGACAGACTTCAGATACAGAGCAAACCCCAGCCCACTGTTTTCACACAGGCCAGAGATGGGTCTGCTGGACTGCACTTGGATTTTTTTTTGGCTTTCACACATAACCAAACATACCAAACGCTGAGTATTAATGGCCCTGTGAAAATGCTATAAGTCAAACTGGCCAAAGAGCTATAAAAAATGCAAACACAACATGAACCAAATACAAGACGGGTGCTGCATCATGTGCTCACTGCCCCCTAGTGTGTGTCCATTCACTAGTGTGTTGTGGGTGTTTCACTGCACTGATGGGTTAAACGCACAGGTGAATCTTCCCATTGTGGGATTAATAAATGATAACTTAAACAAGACATACCACATAGCATCATAACAGCATTGTAATATTTCTACTAACCCAAAGTGAAGAGAGGTGGATTGAAGTCTTGCAGTGAGAGGTTGTAAACTGTGACTGGTCGTGCAGGCTTAGCTTCTACCTTATGCCCTTGTTTTAACAATACAGAAAGGCGCTTGCCATCTTTCTTCAACGCTGAATACCTAGAAGACCAAGAAGAAGTCATCCCAACCATGTAAGTGTACAGTGGAATAAAACAACATTCAGGGCTCTCTAGAGTCTCTGGGCAATATGCACACATGGCCTACGTTTATAGGGCTACACAGTACAAGCCAGCAAGACTGGAACACATAGTGCAATAAGAGATGACACAACACCACTTTTTTCGCAGACCTAGATCACACCTAAGGCTAGACTTAAAAGAATCTACAATGCTGATTCATCTTTGATGCTGCAACTTAGTCTAGGACTAGGCTTTATCCATGTCCAGGAAACCATCTCTGGTTTGACTGTGTGATATTGTCATAAAGCCAAACAGTACAGTGCAAGGCATCAAGTGAGCGGTTTGGTCTACATCAGAATGGTACATGTTAGTGACTCACAGAGGGGGGACCTGCATGATTTCACCAGTAAACTCCTTCAGCTTTTCTTCAAAAGCCTCTCTTGTGATGTGATCTTTGAAAACACAAACAAAAAGTGCACAGTCATCATGACTTGGAATAGCCAACGTCGCCTGCTTCTGTAAGTACAAGCATTTCGGATTTCGGGAATTTACCATAGCTCATCTCTTGAACAACACTTCCTGTGCAGTCCAAGGTGTCAGTTGCTTTGCCCAGTTCTCCAACTGCTGTATATTTCTGTAAATATCAAAACACTAACATTACAGCATCACTGAAACAGCACTGCAACCCATACATACATAGTAGAACAAAAAGAGAAACTCTTGGGTGTACCTTTGATCCAGCCAGCATTGTGGTGAGCATCTTTGTCCCTTCACCAATTCCAACCACTGCAGGAGAGACATACTGCGGTTAAAATGTCCTTGTTCACCGTGTTTTTCTTCATGTGGTGGTTCAGTGATAAAGCCTTACCGAGAACACCAGAAGCATTGCTGTCTAGGGTCCCACCATGGCCGAGCTTGAAAGCTTGCTTCTTCCTTTTTCGAGGGTTCTGATTAACGGCGCCAGCCTCTGAGTGAGAAAAACAGTTACATAATGTAAAAAAAAAAACAGCTACATGCTATAAAACCTGTAACAAACTTATTCCATTGCGCTACGTTTTTATTCTGATTGTATGCGGCAGCTAAGCAGAGCCTCTCAAAGGGCCGCTGCTCTCTAAAGTAAGCAGTAGCAAACAGAACACAGTCTACCTTTTAAAAGCTTGTTTTTAAGCGTGTTTAACACATCGGCAGAGGTGGGTCCCTGTTTCTTAAATATGGCAAAAATGCCATTTAAAGACTGTAACTTCGGTAACGTAACGTTGTTGACAGCAGCCATGCCATCAGCAGCCATGCTCTTCTGCTGCCCTGCGCACAATGGTGACGTCACTGAACCGACGGTACATGTAGTTTTTAATGCGAGAGAGGCGCGTTCACAGCTACATGAAACAGAGACGTTTACCCAGCTTTAGTATCGATAGTTACATATTATAATAAATATATTTAGTGTCTATATTTGGAAATTTACATGTTTTAGGTCCACGTGTCTGAGCGAAAATTTGAGGTTTTTTTTTTATTTTATCAAATTGATTAAACTATATGACTAAAAAGTACGTTTTATTACTTAACATATGAAATCCTGTGTGGTAAAAAGGGGCTACTGATTTGTAACAAAACAAGAGAAAATCCCAATAGTATTGTGAAGAAAACTATGAAAATTACATATAATTAAAATGTGATTGATACTCTTGGATCCAAGCTGTATACATCACCAATCAGAAGTTGGCATTTGTTGGAAAAGAATGAATAAGAGTTAACAAAAAGATATTTGATAAATGACCCGATGAATTTCAGTCCTGATCAATTTCAATGATAAATAAATGAAAAACAAATAAATAAAAATGATTGAGTTAATAAATAAACTCACAAATAAATAAACAAAACATGTCAAAAATAATTTGTATTTCGAAATTTTGAGAAATAAATAAAACATACAAACACATGAATAATAATTCATAAATTTGCTAATATCATTTTTTTTTATCGTGCAGTATGGAAACAGACCTCTCGGGGGCGGTGTTTACACACTTTTGTTAAGCAGCGTGAGGAACATGAATGAGAGAGCGGTGAAATCTGGCGGTGCCAAAGTTTTATGATTTATGTCACTGCTGTATTTATAGGTGTGTTTTTTAAAAGCTATTAAGATAGATACAGTCTGAATAGTGTTGAACGGCAATGGTGCTACAGAAGTGACACACAGCGTGCAGCCTATAAGCATGTAGTAAATGAGTAATACAGTACTGAAGGCATGCTGTGCGAGTAATTTCAGTGGAGAGCCCATGGTCCAGTCAGACAGGAGTTGAGTGAGGCACGCCCCGTAGTAAAGGAGGGCAGTCTCTCTCTCTCTCTCTGTCTCTCTCTCTCTCTCTCACTGTGAAGTGTGAGCTGCATGCCCGCTCACACGGACACACCACCGTCCTGCTTATGGAGGCACACACGTCCTTTATCGCCCCTTTATACGAAGCGAGGAGGCTGCAATCAGTTGTGAAGACACGTTTCTGACCGTTGCCCTTTGGTTTCAGGTGGAAAATCTCCCTTTTTTTCCCGCAGGCATGTCTACGAGAGGTGAGAGTGGTTTACATTAGTTTTCATTATGGACTGTGTGTGTTTGCGTGTCGAAATGAGCTGTCAAGATCAAAGTTCATGTCAAACCTGCATTTCGATCCAGTGCGGGTCTCTTCGCTGCCACGTATTTGTGAGCAGCATCGCCTTAAAGCCTTTCGCCAACTTGGAATTTGATGTTCATACAGTGTGAAATGTTAGGGAGCTTTAATGAAGCAGGCGGACCGGCAGCGTCGCTCTGTGTGATACTCGCTGCCTTAGCCAAGCTGCTTCAGTTCTCACATTAAACTCTGTCCTAAGAGATGAAGCATCGACGATAGCCAGTGAGTGGACATTGCTTTGGTCCCTTTAGGACTCCGACACTTTCTGAATAGCTCAGATTCCAGCAGATTGCAGCGCCCGTCTAAATGGGCTGCATCCTGTACCCTGGCAGGTGTCTGGGGTTAGTGATGGGATAGGATTCAATAAGCGAGTGACGGTCTTGCTGAGATCCTGTTTTATCGCAGGGTTTTTTTTACAATGTTGTATGGCAGATCATGTCCTACTACTGCTGTGGTTCTGCTCTTGGTGCTCTTTCTACATGGCACAGTTGGGATTCTGTGTGACTGGCACTCACAGATCAGCCCAATGGTGGGAATCACAGTGGCAGCTCAAAAGCTGCAGTATAAGAGGAGCTTGTAGGAGGATTATACTGTAAGAATTAGAGATGACACCAGGCATCAGGCATGTTATTATAGAGGTGGACGATATGTCAAAAATCTAATATTGCGATACTTCAAGAAATTTTCATGATACATGATATGTCACAATATTTATTTTTTCAGGCATCTGATCAGTTAGAACAGAGAAAAAACAGTAGTGCTACATTGAAAAAATACTATCAAAAACTGAATACAGTGATTTTTGTTCAATATTTGGTACACTGTGTTGCACTAAATCCAGTTAAAAGAGACTAATTCTGCTCTCTTTATAATGAAGTATGCAGTCGGTCAGTGTTCTGCGAGTACTGACGATATCCATGATATGTTCAGAAATATATATATATATTTATATGTGCTGTGTGTTTCTTCCTGTGGGGTTGTAGAGTGTTTGAGTAGTTTAAGCACGATAGCCTACTTTTATATGCTCATCTTAAGTGAAGTGCTTTGATTAAAAATAGCTCCTTTTAAAGCTTAGTTTAAAAAAAGGTATACTGGACTGATATCAGTATTGGACAGTACTCAAGGTTACGATATTGGTATTGGTATCAGAAAAGGATGAGTGGTATTGTGCTATATCTAGTAAGAATCTATCTATCTATCTATCTATCTATCTGTATGTCTGTCTGTCTGTTTGTACAGATATCTGCACGGAGATTTCCCACAAGGGCCATTTTTGACATTTGTGTACGTTTATGCACCAAAACAGCCATAATTCATTTTTATATGACCATTTTCCAGCCTCTCTATAGCCAATTAAAATTCAGTGGGCGTTACTGTTACTGTGCCTTTAGTACTGATATATGTAAATGAGCACTGTTCTGATTGGCTGCTCTGTACTGCGTCTTGTTCAAAAAGAACTCCAGGCTCCTTATATCTTCATCATTATTGGGCGGGACTAAACTGCTTTAGGTTGAATGTAAATGTGTTGGTTTACATGACATCACAAAAATAATGTATTCAAAATGAGGAGTTTTTGTAGCTTAGTTTCTATATTTGGGCTGCATAGCTTTAACAATGTTTATATAGTATATCTAACTCTTTTTTTAAATCAAGTAATAAAAATCAATGTGTGAGGTAGGAGCCACAAAGCATGCACACTTTGCACACTGTTAAATCTGGCTCAGCTCACTGGATTTAGTGTAGTCATTTTGACAACATGCTTTGTTAAGAATAAGAGATCAGACATTAGGTTCCTTCAAAGTCATGTTATTTTGTTAAAATGTCCTGAGAGAGTTTGTGTGAAGGCCAGAGCTCACCGAACAAACATTCCACAGCAAACAGTAACATTCAAGAAGGTCTTTAGAATTGTCTTTAGAATGTCCAGACCTGATGACCAATGAACACGAGTGTAACAGTCTAGATCCTCCAAATCACACCCAGGTATGACACGCCAACCAAACATTTCTGTTTATTGGTGTTTGTTTTGGTCAGTCTGCTCTGACCTTTTGAAATCTGTTTCTTCAGATGCTCTTGAGTTGAGCACAGTGAAGGAAGAAAGGGTGAACGCCAGCGTGAGCAGTCATGGAATGCGTCTAAATATAGTATGACCAAAAGTCATTGGTTTTCCAGTATGCTGCGTTTTTCTGTTTTTTTTTCTCTGTCATTTCTTCAGCCAGTTCAAGGATTAGTTTTGTTCCAAGACCCTGTTTCCAAACAGTATATTGATTCTGAGCAATCCCTAGTGAACCCATTCGTTTAGAAATCTGCAAGTAGCGTTTTCCACATAAAACAGTCAAATGAAAAGCTGTTACAAAAAGAGGAGATATTAAATTTTTGTTTTGCTGGAGGGTCCGTGTTGTGTGTGTGTTTCTGACAGCTGCTATGTGGTGTGCAAGATCCATCGTGCTCATACAACAGAGTTTTGGCTTGAAGGGTCTGTTTAACTTTGGAAGTGTCCAGTTTCCTTTCAGATTGTTTAGCTTGGGCAAAGCCCCAGTCACATCCCTCCAAGATGTATGTAAGTGCCCCTGTGTATTTTTCTTACTAGCCCCCCACTTCTCCCTCCCCTGTTCTTAGTAGCTGCGCGTCAAGGGGTCACACATGTTTCACTTTTGACCTTTAACCTCCACATCGTGGACTGGACGAAAGCACTTTACACAGGTGTCCACTCATTAACATGCAATCAGTGAGGTGACGGTGACTGACTTCTGGCTGCAGTTAGACAGAGAACATATCAAACATCTGAACATTCATAAGAGCAAAACAAATAAATCTAGACTGACAACACGGCCGGCTTTTTCACAGCCACATTTCTGAAGAGGCTTCTGGATATCCATCACATTACGTATCTCTCTCTCCCGCTCTTTCTCACATTCTCTCTCTCTCCCTCTCTCTATCTCTCTCTCTCCCTCACATTCTCTCTCCTTTTCTCTATGTCTCTCCTTCTCTCTACTCTCTCTCTGTCTCTTTTTCTCTCCTTTCTCTCCCTCTCTTTCTCCTCTGCTTTCTTTTTTTTATCTATCTATCTTCTCTTTTTTGTTCTCTTTTGCTCTCTCTTTCTATCTCTCTTTCTCTCTCTCTTTCTCTCTCCGACCCTGGATCGTTGTCAGCCCACGGGGAAGCCCAGTTAAGGCTGTCAGATGGAATCAGTGCAAGGATCTGAAAAGTAAACCTCTTCTAACAACACACAGAGTGGAACTTTCCAGAAGTCAGTATTTTTGTAATCAGAGTTCAAATATTTAATTAGAATACATGCTCTGAATTCCAGGCTTCCTCTAATTTTCCGTGACAATATCTCTGCTCTACATTTCCAACAAGTGATAGAAAATGTCCGCAGTAAGATGTAGTTTGTAGTGTTGTGCGATGTTGTTTGGTTCTATGAGTCAAGTTTAAGAGGCAGAGTGTATGCTGAAGAGGGTCAGATGCCTTAAAGACAATGTGTCTAAAGCGTAGAGAAACAACTACTTTAACACAGATGTTATCAGCCCTGGTCCTGGAGGCGCACTGCCCTACACAGTTTGGAGAGCTGATTAGTTGGATCAGGTATGTTGGGCATATATATAGTCATGTTTGTATATATGTATATATACATATATAAACATATATATACATATACACACACACACACATATATATATATATATAATATTGCTATATATATTGCTAATATAATCTATAGTGACAGCCCTACTTACTCATAGTATTCAGTGCCTGAGGGACATAATACTTATGTGACTGCTGATGATGTTGAGCTTTGGAGAAACGTCATCATACTGAGTCTGCACGTACATCTGTCTACTGCTCCATCATTACATTGCATTACAGCTTCTGTTGCGTTTTACCTGCTCTTGTGTCTGTGTGGCTATAATAGGTCTGTATATGTATTCAGTGGTTGAGATCAGGAGCTATAATGGCTATATAAGGTAATGCAATAATACAGGCCACCCTTCACTGCCCCTTTCACCATACTCGGTAACTCCTCACCTGTGTTTTGGAATAAACATGAAAATGTACAAAGGATTATATCCATGAGTCACTTTTCACCTAGCAACTACTGTTTTCCTCCTGTCTGCTCTCCGTCCTAAGCTAACATTTATTTAGGCCTAATAAAATATTGCTTCAACAAAAGAGAATAGTGTAGGTCTGTTGGTTGCACCCGTGCCGAAAGCCTTGTGGTACATTCCAGTATATCTTGTTTGTAGGTCTGTATGGCAGTCATCCTGCTAGCCACTGGCACTCAGGTCTCTGATGATGGCCAGTTAGGTCCTCTGCAGGCCTGTGTTGGTGTGGTTAGCCAGAGGAGGTGAAGCAGGGCTGCTGACTGCTGAGGTTGGGGCGCAGTGAAAGCAGCAGGGCTTTAGCTGTTGTTCCAGGCTTAATTAGGCTTGATCCTACCAGGAAGCCGCCCCCTCACCCCCTCTCTGTTCACAAGCCGCCCTCAGTGGGCAAGCCCTGGGCCCACTGCATTCCTGTCACTGGGATGTCACCTTTCAGTGGCCGGCCTGGATAAGTGGCGGTTTGGGGGAAGGGGAGACGGAGGAGCCGGTGACAGGGAATAACGCTGGGGTTACGAGGTCGTCATCTCATCTCAGACCACACACTACCATTCAAAACTGTAGAATCATCTATCATAGCAATATTTTTGTCATTTTTTTTACATACAATAGTGATCTCAAACAATACAAACTAGATTTCAAATACTATTAGGTGTTTGTGTTTAATTTAATATTTCAGTCTTAAGAACAGCAATAAGTTATTAAATGGTCAATAATATGTATCATTTTTCATCAAGTTAGCTGCTGAAATTTGATCTGCCCTTTTGAAATGTGTAGCATTTTGAATAGTAGTTCAGTTATTCACTAC